TTTCTAAATTTAAAGAGCATGTACCGACCCACTATAATAGAACTTTTACTATTGGAAAGCATAAAACCTTACTTTTAAACCTTTATACTTTATATGTCATTCTTGCGTAATCGGACGCAAGAATGACATATAAGTATATTTTTGAGTGAAATATGAAATAGGAATAAGTGTGATCAAGCTAAAATTTCTTCTCACACACGAAGTTTAATCTTTTATTTTCAGTTATTAATTTACTATTTATTTCGTGCAGTCATTTTATTTACTTATAAAAGAATTTAAAAATTAAATGCTCGGAAAGGCGATCAGAATTAGAAGGAATACATGTTAACACCCTACATCCAATCAACATGAGTGAACTTACGCCTGAAAGTGGTAAGTAACTGTCAATTATTATCTAATTCATATTAGAGACATCTATGTTAATCGTCAACTTGCTAATAATTGGTGACGTAGAGGAGCTACAAATAAACTTTATTTTGTACAACATTAAATATACAAAGCGATAATAATCATAATTATCGCTTTGATCACGAAAACTGCTAAAGGCTAAAAGTGTTCTAACATGTTATTTTTAAAGACTCAAAATAACTTGCTAATTAAAATATCATTCACAAAATTGGAGCTAAGGATTTTTGTTTTTTTTTTTAATGTGAAAATCCTGTATTAGTCTCTACTGAGGCTTTGGTTGGCTATGTGCGTAGTCTTCCAAAGACTTAATAAATTGTGTAGCTTTTGCAACAATGAAATACCCTGTAATAAAAAATTATAAGTTTGGAAAGCCAACCTTAAGATCTACTCGTATATAAATACAAGTATGTGTTAATCCGAAAGATACTTCAGCCGCACATTCGCGAAACGTTGAAGCAACACTGATATGATTTCACAAGAAAATTTATATTATAGTAATGTATCTTTTTTTCTAAAGAAAGTTGGGAGTATTTAGAATATTAAGATACACCTATTATCTACTTACTTCTAGAAAGTATTTTCTTTACATGAAACATTCACAACTTTAATTCGAGATAAATTTGTGAAATTGAGAGATTAATGGTTTTTTTTTTTAATTATGAACTACTTAACGTTATTAATATTTGTATTCAAGTCTTTCAAAACAAAGGTGATTGTTTTGCCAACTATGGCGTTAGTAACATATGCGTAAGATAAGTATACCTTCAGTTTACTTAGGGTGCGAAAGTTTGGATATCAGAGTAATATCGTAATGTATCAGCATTGACGCAAATATACAAATAGCAACCATAGGAATCGATATCACCAGCGTCTATAGTACTAACAGAGAGACATTTTAATTAACATTCTGATCCACTGTAGTAATTGGTGTAATTACACGTCGCTTATGCTTGTTTTATACCGTAAATGAATTGTGGGACTTTGTTGTAGAAAGTAAAGGAAGTATGCACCACTTGCAAAATATGTAATGTAATCTACCAAGTCGTTTGTGAAATTTTTATTTGGTAATTAAAAATTTGAACCGACCTCTAACAATACTAACAAAAAGCACTGAAAACCTAGCAGCAATCGCGGTTGATTTGCTGTTATTTTGAAGAGTTCCGTTGTCTGTCTGCTATTCAAGAGGCGGGTTAATATGTATATTATATAAATATCTTTTACATATTACAAAAAATTAATGGGTAATTGACGAATTATTATGTTTTATGCAAGTTGTTGATACGTTGTGCATTTAATGTAGATCAAAATTGCTTTTTACAGCATATCATTAAAGTGAATATCTAATAGATAACAGAGATTTAGAATGCGGGGGCAAAGCGGACGTCGCCGCGTCGGGTCGTACGTCCGTCCCGCGTGGTATCGGCCGGCAGGAGCTGAGCGGGCCTATAAATAGTAATACTAAAATACTATCATAATAATAGTTTAATAACTATACACTGACACCACATTAGTAGTATCTACATTGAATCCGTGCGAAGCCGGGGCAGATCGCTAGTTTGATATAAAGTGAAAAACCTGATTCTGTACACGTCTAGGCAGTAGTAAAAGAAGGTATAGTACATGAATATTGTATTACTGAAATGAAAATTCAATAATAACTCTTCATGAATTGTAATTTCTAGACTTATCATTCTGTTTTTTTTTTTTTTCACTACTTTGCACATTTGGGATTGGCAAGTATAGGAAACTGTCAGCGCAGTAAATGTAGTAGCAACATCAAGAATATTACAACAAACTGTTTGCATAGAGGAATCTACACCTTGATCGTTGAAAGTATAACTGTATGGTTCACATGTTCTAATTAGGTTGATTAATCGCGTGACGTTAATAATAATTAAAGAGTTTTGAAAAACGAATATTATCACGCAAATACTAAATACGTAAAGCTCACAAGTTTCTCAGCGCGTTCATTTAGTAGTTCCACAAGTTACTTAAGTGGTATATTTAAAATTAGTGTAGGCCAGCTCGGCCGAAGTGATACCACAGCCTCACAGAAAAACAGTATTGAGCAATTATCTAGAAAAGCAGGTGAAAAGTTTTCAGGCAAATATTTCGTTGCTCTTCAGTGAAAAGCAGGTGAAATCTTTTCAGTGTGTGTAAGTGAGTGAGGTTACCGGAGCCCAAATTCTCTGACTCTGGCGGGAAGGACTCGAAAGTCCGACAACACACTTGTGACTCTTTGAGTTGTAGGTTCAAACGGACGGCAATAGTTGCTTACCATCAGGTGACCCGTTTGCCCGCTTATATCATAAAAAAGGTCTTTTAAACGTAATGTATTATTAATTATCACCGTGAATTCAATATTACCTCTGTCGAAATGAATTCACGATGTTTAAAAATAGAACTAATTGATGACCAGAGTGTAGATAAATCTATATTTATTACATCGATCAGTCACTATCAGATAAAAGTAAGATTTATTTAAAATATTTGGACCTTTATTACTAATTCAACAATACTCAAAGGACTTTTGTCAGAGATACCAACCTAATTTGATACATAACAGTATGTTAACAAAGGGTCTAAAGTAAATGTTTAAGGTAGCTAGCTAATTGGATTCTCGTAAAGCGATATATATGTACACATATACGAACATACATTAAGGAGCACTGAAACATCGACTTTGTGTAAACCATGTACGGTCATAGGCGTGTAGTACATGCATATATATTTGTTTAATAAATGTATGTAAATGATTATTCCATTTAGTAATAATGTAATGTTTTAAGTTGTTGATTAGTGTTTAGTAAAAAAAAAACTAATAATATAAATAACGAATAAGAATATACGAATAGAATTGAACAGGTTTCGGACACGGTTAGGGATATTCGTATATAGTAACGGTAACGGATCTGCTATAACATGCCCTGCCTATTCACTGATTACAAGCGTTATGTTGTCGTAAAGGGAACAGTGTTATCGATGATGATGAAATTACAGTTTTGTTACTCAATAAAGTTAAAGGTAACCGCTTGCTTCAACTATAAAAAGAATATTCACTACCGTGATAATTTCATTTTGCTAGGATGAGCACCTTTGTGGTGTGAGTGGTATTGAAGTACCATAAATAAGTACTTACAAACACTAGATACCATACCCACTTATAAAAATAAAGGTACTGCTTTCTACGAGGGCGGGTCAATAATACCGTGACTTTTTGAATTTCTGACCTCTTTACTGAAAAAGCAACACTACTCCTGTCAACAGGCATCTGTCAGTTGACTCCTGTCAAAATTTGAACTTGCTGCGTCAGTTAGTTTGTGTTTGACAGCTATCTTTATCAGACTACCCAGTAATTTGAGGAAAAAATGGAAAAAAGTGAATTTCGTGTGCTTATTAAGCATTATTTTTTGCGAAAAAAAAACCATTACCGAGACCAAGGCTAAGCTTGATAAATACTATGGGGACTCTGCACCATCGATTTCAAGGGTAAAAAGTGGTTTACTGAATTTCGTTGTGGCCGTACAAGCACTGAAGATGCCGAACGTCCTGGACGCCCAGTTGAGGTCTCTTCACCCGAAACAATCGAAAAAATTCACGATATGGTGTTGGCCGACGAAGATTGAAAGTGCAAGAGATTGTGGAAGCCGTAGGGATCTCGCATGGCTCAGTGGTTTCAATTTTGAATGATCACTTGGGCATGCGAAAGCTTTCCGCAAGATGGGTGCCGCGATTGCTCACAGTCGACCACAAACGCAATCGTGTAACAACTTCACAGGAAGGTTTGGCGTTGTTTAATTGCAATATGGAGTAGTTTTTGCGCCGTTTTGTAACCGTGGACGAAACATGGATCCATCACAACACACCAGAGACCAAACAACAGTTAAAACAGTGGGTTTCTAAGGGTGAATCGGCGCCAAAGAAGGCCAAGGTGGGTTTGTCAGCCAATAAAGTTATGGCGACTGTCTTGTGGGATGCACGCGGGATAATCCACATTGACTACCTTCAAAAGGGAAGAACAATCAATGGGGAATATTATGCCAACTTATTGGACCGATTCAATGACGATTTGAAAAAAAACTGACCTCATTTGGCCAAGAAAAAAGTTATTTTCCACCAAGACAATGCAAGGGTGCACACATGTGCAGTTGACATGGCAAAAATCCATGAATTGGGCTATGAATTGCTCCCTCATCCGCCCTATTCTCCAGATTTGGCTCCGAGTGACTACTTCTTGTTCCCAAACCTGAAGAAATGGCTTGGTGGAAAAAGATTTGTCTCCAATGATGAAGTCATCTCGCAAACAAAGGCCTATTTTGAGGACCTCGACAAATCATATTTTTTGGAAGGGATAAAAAAATTGGAGAAGCGTTGGACAAAGTGTATAGAGCTCAAGGGAAACTACGTTGAAAAATAAAATGATTTATTTATCAAAAAATCTGTGTTTTATTCCAAAAGTCACGGACTTATTGACCCGCCCTCGTAACTAGTCTTCTACTGCGGTCAAAGTAATCATTATGAATTAATTGGAGCACGAATTATGCTGTGCCATACTTCCTCCTATTTTTCATTAAATATTTAATGGTACTTACATAATCTACCGAAGCTAAGGGAGAGGCGTTTTCTTAATTTCTGCATCTTGCTCATTGCACCACCCCTTTTCTCTCTCATTGTCACGCCTGTGAACAAATAGAAACAAACATTAATGATATTGTAATTAATAAAGACCTTGTGGCTTGATTCCCTATAGCGAAGTAAATCAATCGATCTCTTTGTGGTTTATCTACAAGCTACTGTTTATGGATGTTTGAAGTCAAGAACAACCAAGGTTAACGAGTTGGTCGATAATATAGTGATGGATACGTTGGTGACATTTAATTAATTATTGCTAGAGATCGACTCGTGGTCGAATTTCGACCATAATTAATTATTAAGTTATAAATGTTTGCCTTTGAGCAGTCTAACTTAAACTATAATATAATAAATAAAATCCCGACTTATGGCAAGTCTACATATATACTGGACCCCTTCTAATAGACGTTTATGCATAATTTTTATTTTTTATAACACACAAAAGAAAGAAAATAAGTTTATTTTCGTTGTTAATTCAGTTAATCGCTGTTAATTTTCATCCCTGAATAATTGGTTGGCATAATCGACCGCTAGTAATGAATAAAGGAATGTTCATATTACACTATCCACCTTAACTCGTCTTAAAAAAATTACAATATTTGGCTTTAATTTTTACCATCATTTTTTTTAATTCTTTTGTTTTCTTATTTCACTGAGGGAAATCCTGCACATAGATATCGTCGAAGGCAATAAGCGTGGCGGTTAGCAGTTAATCACAAACGTTATATTAGATGTAGTCACGCCAGTATTACAGATGTACGACGTCAAGCAACGGCACTTATGATAGCGTGTTCGCGTTCTAATTAAATTTCATCTATTAATTTTACCTGTACACTCAACATTAGAAGAAGATTAAATACATTGTGCTGTCTGCACTCATGTACAAATGTAGGTGGTATATTTTTTTTATTAAGTGGCGTTCACGTACACGCCTAAATGTATGGCTTTCTACTATTCTCGTGCCCACAAACCACGTACGTCCCGTGATTATCGTGTATAATTTCATACAATTGTATTTTCGTGCTTCTGTTAATTTGTTATTTACATATCAAGCTGTTATCACTTAGAAAGTTATACGACTTAGATCATGATTATAAAGTTAACATAGACCTGTACCCGATCTGTCTACAGCACTATGCATCCGTATCAACTATGTCAAGATAAAAAAGGGATGGCAAGCGTAAATAAGATAAATCATACCCTAATTGATACTTTAGTAAGTTTATTGGACGTGCAGAGATACTGTGCCCATTATTCAATTCCTCTTTAAGAGAGACTTTCTGTACATGCTTAATAAAAAAATCTTACATAACTAAAACATTTAGTATAAACATATTTCGATATTTTATTCGTCACAAAACACCAACACTCAGTTGTATATATTGACGTAAGAAACTTTCACTTCACTCGCGTTCACAATCCTTTTATCAATCTTATTTACAGCTCCACTTCATTAGTTAGGTATTTTTGCAAAGAAACTTACAGAAATCATTCGCATTACGAAACGTACTATTTATCTCAGGTGTTTATATTTTCCTGACGATTTAACAAAAAAAAAGTAGCTGTATTTACATAATTTATTCAAACCAGATAAAATATCCTGGATACAATAGGAATATTCCAAGCCAAACATAATCGCAATATTTGAGGTAGATCACAACGTCCATTAGAAAAACTTAAGAGACAATAACTTAAGCAGTATTTTATACCTTTTTATGGAGTTACTGTGCTTTTATTTCTAGAAAAAATGACAAGCCTAGGATGTATATAGAATAGAATAATCTTTATTGTACACCACTTTTATATAAAATAGTATTTCAAGTTAATAGCCCTGTACAAATGGCATACAAATGGATATATGTAGTAATATTTCAATTTTATAAAACACATTACGTAATGTAACAGCAACTATGTGTACCTATTTAACGCTTTTGAATTTACCGGAAACAGTGATTATCATACATACATATATGTAGTTAAGTGCTTAATACGAAGCATATCACTGCAAATTAGAGATTGAAAGCTAAATATAATTATCGTAATTGCAATTCGCTGCTCTCATTATCTTTAAATGCAATTGCAAAGCGAAGCCTAACTTCATTAAAGCTATTATTTTGGTTTCCGTTTTGTTTAGCAAAATATTTGTTAGTAAAGTTTTTAATTTGTGTTATTGCAATAAGTACAGACTTCCAAATTGCTCAATGGAGTTTATAAAGATATAAATCGGGTGTACTAGTATAATTGTACACAATAATATAATATTTACATATAAGCCTCATTTTAGCAGTCTTTGGATATTCTTTAAAGATCCTAAAATTAAGATGGACGAGGATCGAAAGTAGTTACCGATCGATAGTGAATGTCCAGCAATGGAGGTGCTAAAGCTGCAATGTATTGTCGCGCCCATTATAAAATAAACAGTAGTACTAAGTAGTAGATTACTTAAAAAAATATCGAAAATAATTTCACGTCAACTACTACGGAATTTCACTACGGCCTCTGTAAACAGCCGAGCTCTATGTATTTTCACGTAGACGAAAATTTTATTTGGACTGATAAGCGCATGCTTATTAATGGAGTGCCAAAAATATTGGCAACGTTGAACTGTTTATCAACGAAAGATTTTTAGATTCGAGAAAAACGTTTTCCACTACAAGAAACACCTGAAAATTATATTTAAAGCATGTCCATAAGTAAGGTAAACCAAAGTCCACGAGAAGAGTGATAGATTGGAAGAAATCTTATTAATACCAATGTTGCTATTGTTCATCGGGTTACTAAACCGCTCATTTGATATTCCTGAATCGTAATTTTTTAGAAAGCATTCTGTTAAATATATTTTTTTTACTACTCATGCTAGTACATAGGATTGGCAAGTATTGGAAACTGTCAGCGCAGTAAATGTAGTACCAACATCAAGAATATTACAACAAACTGTTTGCATAGAGGAATCTAAACCTTGATTGTAGAAAGTATAACTAGTCTGGTTCACATGTACTAATTAGGTTGATTAATCGCGTGACGTTGATAATAATTAAAGAGTTTTGAAAAACGAATATTATCACGCAAATACTAAATACGTAAATTTCACAAGTTTCTCAGTGCGTTAATTTAGTAGTTCCACAAGTTACTTAAAGTGGTACATTTCAAAAATTAGTGTAGGCCAGCTCGGCCGAAGTGATACCACAGCCTCACAGAAAAACAGTATTGAGCAATTCTTTAGTTGCTTTTCAGTGAAAAGCAGGTGAAAAGTTTTCAGGCAATTATTTCGTTGCTCTTCAGTGAAAAGCAGGTGAAATGTTTTCAGTGTGTGTAAGTGAGTGAGGTTACTGGAGCCCAAATTCCCTGACTCTGGGGGGAGCGACTCAAAGTGCGACAACACACTTGTGACTCTTTGAGTTGTAGGGTCAAATGGACGGTTAATAGTCGCTTACCATCAGGCGACCCGTTTGCCCGTATATCATAAAATCGATCTTCTAAACGTAATGTATTATTCACGATGTTTAAAAATAGAACTTATTGATGACCAGAATGTAGGTAAATCTATATTTATTACATCGATCAGTCTCTATCGGACAAAAATAAGATTTATTTAAAATATTTGAACCTTTATTACTAATTCAACAATACTCAAAGGACCTTTGTCAGGGATACCAACCTAATTTGATACAACAAAACAACTGACGTGTAATCAAATTAACTCGAGCTTTTAAGAAAAAAATCTACAAGTGTGCACGTGAAATTACAGATTTTTCTCTGTCTTGGTCCAGTGGCTTGGCTCAATTCACACAATCTAGTATGAGACAGGTCGCAGACAATGAACGCTATTAAAGAGATGAAGTTAGATATTCGTTCCAACTGCAGTGACCTATAAAGTGGATTACTATCCGAACAACTATCTTTGGCGTGTATAAAACAGAATTTTTTGAACTTAGCAGATGATAAACTTCAAGAATTTTCAATAATGTGTAATGTACTTCCAATGAAAAGAGCTTTCATCGGAAGTTTAAATGTTAGCAATTCTATTACTAGAAAGATCATCGCCGGATTCAGCTGAGAATAAACTCACAATCGGAATATGTATTGCTGCATGTGTCATATAATAAGTTTTAACAGTCCAAATCCTTATATCAGTTTGGTTTTGTTACTACATCACTACAATATGTTGATATGTGGTAGTTTCTTTTTAAAGGTAATAAAGTTGAATATTGTATGACAGGTAGGATAAAATTTGGCGCCAGTAAACAGCGCCGGGATGTACAAGCTGCTCAAACATAACCAGAGTGGACAAACATTTACGATGACAGTGCTATCTAATCTGGAAAGCGTTTAGAACAATATGTATAGCGTGGGTTTAACAAACATCAGACATGGTTACGTCACAAAGTTTAAGGTGGGCTCCTGCGATCGCAAATGCCAAAACAAACTTTCGAAAATTAAATGTATCTTTTAATTAATCGATAATCGAACCGAAACTACATGCAGCTATTTCAACTTGCAATTAAGTATAAAAAGTTTGTCGAGTTACGTTTAATATTTATTATACGAAAATCTTTCTCTCGTAGTCCAAATGTCGTTAGTTCGAAGGTATTTGTGATTCTTAAACCAACAGAATGTAAGTGACATAACATCCCGGGCGGAGAAGTAGGCCAGGATCCGATAGTGAACTATGTAATGTCGAAAAACGACAATGTCAGATAGAGTAGTCGGAAGCCCTGCTCAGTTTCGTTATTGAGTATCATATCAAAATATAACAGTACATCTTATGACGTGTTCTCCTATTATACGCCAATATTTGAGTGGAAAAGATCAGGCTGGAAATATTATAAATTCATTGCTTTGCTTTGGTACCTTCGTTCGCGTCGAGTTTGAAAAGCGCTGCCTTAGTGGGTTCGATTGCCGGCCCGGGCAAAATTTTAAAGGATTTTTCTGAGAGGAAAAATAGCCTAAGTTACTCCTATAGACTGCTACCTAGTAGTAAGTAAGTTTTTAAGCATAGGTATCGTGCAAATAACCTCGTAAGCATGAAAAAAAACTATTATTTAGA